TCTTCAGGACATCTTCAGGACATCTTCAGGACGTCTTCAGGACGTCTTCAGGACATCTTCAGGACGTCTTCAGGACATCTTCAGGACATCTTCAGGACGTCTTCAGGACGTCTTCAGGACATCTTCAGGACATCTTCAGGACATCTTCAGGACGTCTTCAGGACATCTTCAGGACGTCTTCAGGACATCTTCAGGACGTCTTCAGGACGTCTTCGGGACATCTTCGGGACATCTTCGGGACGTCTTCGGGACGTCTTTGGGACGTCTTCAGGACGTCTTCAGGACGTCTTCAGGACATCTTCGGGACATCTTCAGGACGTCTTCAGGACATCTTCTTGGCAATGCTGGAGTCATTCAGTGTTTGGAGAGTCAGCTTAAATCAGTGGGCTGAGTTGTAACTTAAAGTATGTTTCACAGTGTAATATACTGTGTATGGAATATCTCTGCAGGAATCTGTAATCATAAACATAAGAAATACTATATAAATTCATTTGTGTACTTTTTTATTTATCTCGTGTATTTTTTTATTCTACTTGTTTATCACAATAAAATATATTTGGCCCTTAATGTTCACATTTATTGCACTTTTACACATTAAGCTTATGCTTTTGTATATAATTATTATTCTACATACCATATCTGCCTCTGGCGTTGCCCGGTAGATAAATACTGGTCAAGGGTTCTCCTGGTTTTGTTGCATTTCCCAGTTCTTGTGTCCAGCGGTGGAAGCTGTTTGACATCAAACTGTCCTCCACGGGCTGCAGACAAAGTGCGCTGGCAGACGGTACAATGAGCTTCATAGTCATTATCATGCACTATTTCCAGCCACGTTTCCTTTTCCCACTCGATTCTGTATTTTTGCAGCCGTTTCTTTTTTTCTGGGAGGAGTAGTCGGGTTATTGATGGAAGATGAAGCTGTTTAAATCCTCTGAATTCCTGCCGCTCGCCTCCATGAGGTCTTGTTGTCGAATCCTGTCTGTCGGCGGTTGTGATAAGCAACAGGAGCTGGACCAATGAGACGAGCTGATCCTGTAGCTTGGTGAGTAAGAAGGCTGCTCATTGGCCACAGAGCAGGAGAGGGCGGGAGTTAATTTACTGTAAAATCCCCCATCGTTTACTAACTCATGGACGTGTTTTTTGACTTTCATGATAATACGGGACAAAGTGCGTCCCGTTGCAGCTCGATACGGAACGCGCACTTTTGTTTCTAAATACGGGACGATTCCGTTTTTTACGGGACGGTTGGCAACCCTCCCTCTGACTGAAGCAGGAAGAGCTAACAGCTCCCCTGTCTTTATGCTAAGCTACGCTAACAGGAAACAGATCAAACATACTTGGCCTCTGGATCGTACTCGGACCAGATCCTCTTGAACTCATCCAGATGATGTGGCCCCAGGATTGACCAATCCCGTGTCAGGTAGTCGAAGTTGTCCATGATGACGGCAACAAAAAGGTTGATGATCTAAAGGAGAGCCAATCATAATCAACTTCCTGTTCAGCCTCAGGTGACGATGTTCTGACAGGTGAACTGACCAGGAAGGCACACAACATGAAGAAGCTGATGAAATAAACGATGGCGAAGTTGCTGCCGCAGCTGAACTCCTCTCCTGGCTCGTAGTCTGACTCTGGGTCGCAGCGTTTACCTGGAAGACTGGCTAACATGATCTCCTGCCACGCCTCCCCTGTGGCACACCTGCACGCACACACAGGTGAGATCAGAGCAGGAGGAGATGAAGAGCTGGCAGGAGGAAGAGGATCAGACCTGAAGAGGAGGAGAACTGCCTGAGGAAACGTCTGGAAGTTGTTGTTCCTGTTGATCTGAGTGTTGTCCTGCATGGCGATCTTTCCGAACGTCTGAAAAACATTTGAAACGAGTCCAGTTCACCTGCACAACCTGAAGGTTGCAGGAACACATCTGACAAACTCAACTGCCACATTCCTCCCTCAACGACATGGAATAAAGTACGAAGTGTAGGTTGTGTGGTTGAGAAAACATCAACCAACTAAACAAACAATTTGCCAAATTTTACACACTTATTATTAAAGTCACATTCTTTCACACTAAAATGTTGTTTATGAGATAATAACCTGAAAAACTAAAAATTGACCAATAAAAAACAGGCCCCTGTTCGGCTAACCTTCAGCCTGATGAAGACTTCTGCTCCTCCGTACTCGGCGCCCTACGACTCACGGCCGCCAAGTATTAGAAATGTACAGACTACCCCTTTAACTCTCAGGGTCAGAGGTCACCTGTGTACGACGTACCTGCATGCCGATGACGGCATAGATGAAGAAGATCATGGCGATGAGCAGAGCGACGTACGGCAGCGCCTGCAGAGACATCAACACGTGAGGTCATGACCTGGTTCAGACCCTGGTTCTGACCCTCGTTCAGACCAGGTTCAGACCTGGTTCAGACCCTGGTTCAGACCCTCGTTCAGACCCTGGTTCAGACCTGGTTCAGACCCTGGTTCAGACCTGGTTCAGACCCTGGTTCAGAGCCTCGTTCAGACCAGGTTCAGACCTGGTTCTGACCAGGTTCAGACCCTGGTTCAGAACTGGTTCAGACCCTCGTTCAGAAACCTGGTTCAGACCTGGTTCTGACCCTGGTTCAGACCCTGGTTCAGACCTGGTTCAGACCTGGTTCTGACCCTGGTTCAGACCCTGGTTCAGACCTGGATCAGACCCTGGTTCAGACCTGG